AGGCAGGAAACCCTATACCATTTCAGACAAATGGCTGTCCAGTCTCTTCTTAAAAACTTCCAGTGTTGGAGCATTCACCGCTTCTGGAGGCAGGTTGTTCCACTGGTTAATTGTTCTAACTGTCAGGAAGTTTCTCCTTAGTTCCTGGTTGCTTCTCTCCTTGATCAGTTTCCACCCCGTTGCTTCTTGTCCTGCCTTTAGGGGCTTTGGAGAATAGCTTGACTCCCTCTTCTTTGGGGCAGCTCCTGAGATACTGGAACACTGCTATCCTGTCCCCCCTCGTTCTTCTCTTCATTAAACTAGACATCCCCAATTCCAGCAGCCTTTCTTTATATGGTTTAGTTGAAGTTCCACTCAATTTGCCAGGTTTGAAAAACCTTGCCTTAAAGGAAAGAAGAATTTAATGTCTATTTATGTGACGCTCTCTCCCCTTTGGTGCAGGCGTGTAAACACCGACACCAGTGTGAAACAGCCTTTCTCCCGTTTCTAAAGATAGCGGTCTCTCAGAATGAAGTAAACCTATCTCATAATAGTAACCCTCGGCCTTCCGAGGAGGCTTTTTCCTATAATCTAAGTAAATCCACAGATTATTTTCCCGTCGGCCGGCTCAGAGGTTCAGGCGTGGCCAAACATGGGCCGGAGGCCGGACCCCTCCAGCTTTCTGCAAAATCGGCCACGGTCTGGGCCTGCTTAATGCCCGGCCCCTCCTTTGAGGCATTTGAGGACACCAGAGCTTTCGATAAATAGGATTTCCTTGTAGAAAAAAAAAAAAGCTAGCGGAGCCGTTAGTAATTCCAGCAATTGCTACGTTTCCAACGCAAGCCATCATTTATAGTAAGACGGAGGAGGACCCGCTTGTTGAAATCCAGCAACGGGGTGTATAACAGGCTTGAAATTTCTCTTTTGTTAGTGAGGGTGTCCATAGAGCTGTTCTTTTTAAAAAACTTTTAAATCCCAGAATAAAGAGGAGAGGATAGAACTGGAACGGTTGCCAGAATTGGGTAATCTGCCACTATTGCAGAATTGGGTATGGCTAGTCTAGAGAAAAGGATGACTGGGGGGGGGGCACATGGTAGCAGTATTCTTAGTATTTGAGGGGCTGCCACAAAGAAGAGGAGGGGGTCAACTAATAATAATAATAATAATAATAATAATAATAATAATAATAATAATAATAATAATAATAGTAAAGTTGGAAGGGACCTTGGAGGTCATCTAGTCCAACCCCCTGCTCAGGCAGGAAACCCTACACACCATTTCGGACAAATGGCTGTCCAGTCTCTTCTTAAAAACTTCCAGTGTTGGTGCATTCACTGCTTCTGGAGGCAGGTTGTTCCACTGGTTAATTGTTCTCACTGTCAGGAAGTTTCTCCTTAGTTCCAGGTTGCTTCTCTCCTTGGTTAGTTTCCATCCGTTGCTTCTCGTCCTGCCTTCAGGCGCTTTGGAGAATAGCTTGACTCCCTCTTCTTTGGGGCAGCCCCTGAGATACTGGAAGACTGCTATCATGTCCCCCCTCGTCCTTCTCTTCATTAAACTTGACATACCCAATTCCAGCAGCCGTTCCTTATATGTTTTAGCCTCCAGTCCCCTGATCCTCTCTGTTGGTCTTCTCTGTACTCTTTCTAGAGTCTCAACATCTTTTTTACATCGTGGGGACCAAAACTGGATGCAGTATTCCAAGTGTGGCCTTACCAAGGCCTTGTAAAGTGGTATTAACACTTCACGTGATCTTGATTCTGTCCCTCTGTTAATGCAGCCCAGCACCGTGTTGGCCTTTTTGGCAGCTGCAGCACACGGCTGGCTCATATTCTCCAAAGCAACAGAAGGCAAGAGAAGAAATAATGGATGGAAACTAATCGAGGAGAGAAGCAAACTGGAACGAAGGAGAAACTTCTTGACAGGGAAGACAATTAACCGGTGGAACACAGCTGGCCACCAGAAGTTGTAGGTGCTTTTAAAGAAAAGACTAGATAGTCATTTCTCTGAAATTGTATGGGGGTCTCCTGCTTGAGGAAAGGGTTGGACTAGAAGACCTCCGAGGTCCCTTCCAACTCTGTTCTGATTCTGAAATCCCCATCGCTTTAAGGTGGTTGATTGGCTTCTCAGAGGACTAGAAACATGTTTTTTTTTCCTTTGCTTTTGATTGAGGCCCTGGACGTGAGACGTGCTGAGGGATATGCTTTAAATAGCCACAGTTTCTTCCAAATATTCTATGACTGGTTTATAGGCAGGAGAGCAGGATAGAAATCGCAAATAAAAAATGAATCATCACTTAGTCACAGTCTCCCTCTCTCTCTCCTTCTCTCCTCCCCATCTTGCACTAAAATCCATGCCGCAAATCGGGCAGAAACCAATTAGGGAGAATTTGTAAAAGTCTTTGCCCGTTAACCAAATGATTAAAGTTCCCAGAGAAGAGAATATTTCCAGCTCAGCATTGTGCTGTGGTGTCCTTGCTGCTCTCTGAGTGAGCTTGGTGGTTCTCTTGCAGACGTTTCATGATCCAGCCGAATAACACCATCAGTGTTAGAAGGGAGGGGGGTTTGTGGAGTGGAGGAGGAGGAGGAGGAGGAGGATTGTGGGGTCTTTGGTGCTCTCTGCACTTGATGGTTTTCTTGCAGACGTTTCATTACCCAACTAGGGAACATCATCAGTGCTAGACGAGTTAGCATCCTGATGATGTTCCCTAGTTTGGTCATGAAACATCTGCAAGAAAACCACCAAGCTCAGAGAGCACCAAGGACCCCACACTCATTCCTCTCCTCCTTCCCCTCCCTCTCCTCCTCCCCTCCCCTCCTCCATCTGAGATGGAATAGGTCAGGGGGTGTCAAACTCGCAATATCATGTGACGTGCTGCGATGTATCACAACTTTTTTTTCCATTGCCGGCAATAGGGTGGGCGTGGTTTCGGCCTGACGCATCCGGCCTGCAGGCTGGCAGGTTGACACCTTTGGTGTAGGTTCTCCTGCTTGAGCAGGGGGCTGGACTAGAAGACCTCCAAGGTCCCTTCCAGATTCTATTCTATTCTATTCTATTCTATTAAAAAAGATGTTGAGACTCTAGAAAGAGTACAGAGAAGAGCAACAAAGATGATTAGGGGACTGGAGGCTAAAGCATATGCTCCAACACTGGAGGTTTTTAAGAAGAAACTGGACAGCCATTTGTCCAAAATGGTATAGGGTTTCCTGCCTGAGCAGGGGGTTGGACTAGATGACCTCCAAGGTCCCTTCCAACGTTGTTGTTGTTGTTGTTGTTATTATTATTATTATTATTATTATTTTCTCTTCTCTTCTCTTCTCTTCTCTTCTATTCTCTTCTCTTCTCTTCTATTCTATTCTCCATTCCATAATTCTCCATTCCATAATTCTCCATTCCATATTCTATTCTATTCTATTCTGTTCTGTTCTGTTCTGTTCTGTTCTGTTCTGTTCTATTCTCCATTCCATAATTCTCCATTCCATATTCTATTCTATTCTATTCTATTCTATTCTATTCTATTCTATTCTATTCTATTCTCCATTCCATAATTCTCCATTCCATAATTCTCCATTCCATATTCTATTCTATTCTATTCTATTCTATTCTATTCTATTCTATTCTATTCTATTCTATTCTATTCTATTCTATTCTATTCTTCCCCCACAAGTTGAAGTCCACAAGCATGAAGGTGCCATAGTTTCCCCCATGTGGCTCAGGAATTCTGGGAGCTGAAGTCCACGAGTCATAAAAGAACTAAGGTTGCCTACCTCTGCCCTAGAACATACCCTTGAGTCCCCATGCATTCTTCCTGAGTGTACTTTTTGCAAGTATTTGCTTTAATATGAATTTTTGTTCTGCTCTTTTTCCCTGTTTTAGAAATCTAGTGATATTTTCTTTTTTATGCCGAGATCTGGGCTCTAACCCTCTTCAATATATATTCATGTATTTATTTGAAGCCATCATCTTATGGTTCCTGTTTAGGGAAGGAAAGACTCCCCAGCAGTCTGAATCTTTTTTTTCTCCCCCCCCCTCCTCATGTCTTACCTCTAGGCCCCTCCCGGAGGAAGCAGGAATGGAGAACTTGGGAAGCCCATCGGAGAACGTGTTGGGTGAGTAGATGTAGATGGTTAGCAAAAAACTCAATCCAGATTGGAGGTACTAATACCACTCCATAAAGCCTTAGTAAGGCCACACCTGGAATCCTGCAAGCAGTTTTGGTGTCCATGCTATAAAGAAGGATGTTGAGACTGTAGAAAGAGTGCAGAGAAGAGCAACAAAGATGATTAGGGGACTGGAGACTAAAACATATAAGGAATGGTTGCTGGAATTGGGTATGTCTAGTCTAATGAAGGGAAGGACCAGGGAGGACATGATAGCAGTGTTCCAGTATCTCAGGGGCTGCCCCAAAGAAGAGGGAGTCAAGCTATTCTCCAAACACCTGAAGGCAGGACAAGAAGCAACGGATGGAAACTCATCAAAGAGAGAAGCAACCTGGAATTAAGGAGAAACTTCCTAACAGTGAGAACATTTAACCAGTGGAACAACCTGCCTCCAGAAGCTCTGAATGCTCCAACACTGGAAGTCTTTAAGAAGAGAGTGGACAGCCATTTGTCTGAAACGGTAGAAGATTTCCTGCCTTAGCAGGGGGTTGGACTAGATGACCTCTAAGGTCCCTTCCAACTCTGTTATTCTGTTAATCAGTAGAACTCCTTGCCTCCAGAAGCTGTGAATGCTCCAACAGTAGAAGTTTTTAAGAAGTGACTGGACAGCCATTTGTCTGAAATGGTATAGGGTTTCCTGCCTGAGTAGGGGGTTGGACTAGATGACCTCCAAGGTTCCTTTCAACTTTCTTATTATAATAATAATAATTATTATTATAACCTAGAAATAAGGAGAAATTTTCTGACAGTGAGAACAATCAACCAGCCTTTAAAAACCTATTAAATTCAGTCTATTTTAAAACATGGGAAAATTTTTATCAGTGGTTAGCAACACGATAGAGCGAGAAAGGATGGTGAAATTTAACAGGATGAATTGACTAAGCTTTATTTTTTTATGATTATTGTTATTATTAGTGATTATAATTGTTTAGTATTATATTAACTACTGTCATTTAATATTTGTACCTGGGCGATAGTCTGCTTGCTAACGTGTTGAATTTTTGTTGGGGACAACCCCACTACTGTATCTATCCCTACCCTTATCCCAATCCTATTCCCTAACCCCATCCAAGATCCATACCGACCTTATCCCTTCCCTACCCTTATAAAACTTAATAAAATATCTATATAAAAAAATTGCAGTTTCAGGTCATCCCGTTGACTTAACAACAGTTTGCTGTGCTCAGGCACAGAAAAAAACGTGACTGATGACCCTTTTTCACACTTAACGACCGTCGCAGCATCCGCACGGTTACGTGATTTACATTCGGACGCTTGGCAACCGGTTCACATTTATGACCGTCGCAGCCTCCCCGTGTGTGTGTGTGTGTGTGTGTCATGTGATCCCCTTCTGCGACTTTCTGAAAAGCAGAGTCAACCGGGGGAAGCTAGATTCGTTTAACCACCAGGTTACTAATTTAACAACGGCGGTGATTCATTTAACAACTGTGGCAAGGAAGGTCGTAAAATGGGACAAAACTTTATGACTTAACCACTGTCTCACTTAACTGCAGAAACGCTGAGCTCAATTGTAGTCGCGCGTTGAGGATTATATGCCCCTTGCTCGTCGTCATTTTCTGCCAAATTAAAACGCAATAAACCAGGGTGACATTTTTCTTCTGGACTGCCTCAGTCTGTTAACTTTTTCTCCTTCAAATCCCACAGCTCCCCCGAGCTCCTTACATTTTACTAACGGGGCTCGCCACAAGCGGAAAACCCTGGTAGCTCCGGAAATCAACATCTCTTTCGACCAGAGCGAAGGGTCCCTCCTGTCCGACGATTTCCTGGACACACCAGACGACCTGGATATAAATGTGGATGACATCGAAACTCCAGATGAGACGGATTCCCTGGAATTCCTGGGAAATGGGAACGAACTGGAATGGGAGGGTAGGAATTGAATGGATAATCTATCCCTGCTGGGTTTGCTATTAGGAGTGGCTCATATGCAGAACAGAACAGAACAGAAGAGAACAGCAGTAGAAAAGAATAGAGAAGAGAAGAGAATGCAGAATAGAATGCAGAATAGAACAGAATAGAATAGAATAGAATGCAGAATAAAATAGAATAGAATAGAATAGAATGCAGAATAAAATAGAATAGAATAGCAGTAGAATATAGTAGAATAGAATAGAAGAGAGGAGACGAGAAGAGAATGCAGAATAGAATGTAGAATAGAATAGAATAGAATAGAGAATAGAAGAGAATGCAGAATAGAATAGAATAGCAGTAGAATATAGTAGAATATAGTAGAATAGAAGAGAAGAGAGAAGAGAAGAGAATGCAGAATAGAATGCAGAGTAGAATAGAATAGTAGTAGAATATAGTAGAATAGAATAGAGAATAGAAGAGACTGCAGAATAGAATAGAATAGCAGTAGAATATAGTAGAATAGAATAGAATAGAATAGAATAGAGAATAGAATAGAATAGAATAGAATAGCAGTAGAATAGCAGTAGACTAGACTAGACTAGACTAGACTAGACTAGACTAGACTAGAATAGAATAGAATAGAATAGAATAGAATAGAATAGGAATAGGAATAGGAATAGGAATAGGAATAGGAATAGGAATAGAATAGAATTCCTTATTGGCCAAGTGAGATTGGACACACAAGGAATTTATCTCTGGTGCAGAAGAATGTACATACAAGCAACAAGTGATAAATTTTAATAATAAAATACAATGTCATAAATCATAAGATACAAACAACAAAGTGATAGTCATAAGATGTTAAGGAAATGGGTAATAGGAAAGATGAGAAGGATAATAGTAATACAGCCCTACTACATGGTTTGATATCCTAGGGCATATAACAGTGTTGTGGGAATTTGTTGTTTAGCAGAGTGATGGCATGCGTGTGGGGGGGAACTATCTTTGTGTCTAGTTGTTTTGACGTGCAATTTTTCCTAGTTGGGATGTCTTGAAAGTTGTGGCCAAACCGCTGAACAAATTTTTAAAAAAAACAGAATGTGGTTTAATTTTATTAGATTTCATGAATTAAAAACTTGTTCCACAGTAAAGAAGCCACTGCAGTCCTAGGTTGCATTAACAGAGGGATAACGTCAAGATCACGTGAAGTTTTAGTACCACTTTATAATGCCCTGTTAAGACCACACTTGGAATACCGTGTCCAGTTTTGGTTAACATTTTGAGACTTTAGAAAGAGTGCAGAGAAGAGCAACAAAGATGATCAAGGGACTGGAGGTTAAAAGATATGAGGAACACTTGCAAGAACTGGGTATGTTTAGTTTAATGAAAAGAAGGACAAGGGG